TGGCAGGGTCGATGGCGGGGAGCACGGCCAGAGAGAACATAATTCCAAGACTTCTCATCAGTGGTCAGAAGTTCAGTCCATGGCATCACTGAGCTTGTGGCTGAAGGAAACTGTCAGTGTGGAAGTGGGGCATGTGGCTGTATCCTGGGACTTGTCACAGTCGTTGATGTGAAATGTTAACAGGTGTCTGTCCAGTGCCATAGACGTTGCGCGCAAGAGTATTTTGTGGGAGATTGGGATAAGAGTTGGGCTCGGAATGGACCGTGATGCCTTTCCTGGTTGGAGAGCCAGCTGACACTGACTAGCTGTGATGAATGGCCTCCGTGGGATAGATAGTGGAAATATCTATGGCATTGTACTTCAGGGAAGAGACATGTCGGAGCTGGGGGACAATCCCAGCTCCAGACTTAAACACAGATGTTGTAAGTAATGTTATGGATGTGACTTTTGTCTGCCCACAGTAAGAAGAGTGGAAAGCTGAAGACTGCCTACAAACGAGACTATGTGAACTTGGGCTGTGATGTCGATTTTGACTTCGCTGGCCCCACCATCCACAGCATGGCTGTGTTGGGCTATGAGGGTTGGCTTGTCGGTCACCAGATGGCCTTTGACACTGCCAAATCCAAGCTGGTACAGAACAACTTCTCTCTGGGCTACAAGGCTGGGGACTTCCAGCTGCATACCCATGTGTAAGTACATAGAGAGTACAGATGGCTACAATTTTAAGGCAAACCCTTGCACTAATCTCTCACTTTTCATGACTATTGGTCACCCCAAAGTATTTCACAGGTGTTGAAATACATCGCTGAGTTGGAAATGAGACAGACAGTATGTTTGCAATAGTCATCTAATCAGAATCTGTTTTTTGAAATGTGGTAAAGGGATAATTATTGCCCGGGGACCAGGAATCATTTCCCTATCTCCTCTTTCAATTACTGGTGTGGGATTTTGTTTTGCATCCACTTGAACATTTAGAGCTTTGGTTTATCAGTTATTAATTCATGGGAAGTGGGTATTGTTAGCTAGGCCAGCATTTATTGGCCATCCCCGGTGGCTTTGAGGACATGATAGTTTGTTGTATTATTGAGCCATTGTAATCTGTCGTGAGGGAGGATGTCCCAGTGACAGTGAAGGAGCGGTCATGTATTTCCAAGTCATGGTGATATGTGGCCTTTCCGTATATCTGCTGACTTTGCCCTTCTAAGTGGTAGAGGTCCGAGGTGTGGGAGGTCCTATCTGAAGAGCCTGAGCGCGTTGTTGCGGTGTATCTTGTTTGTTCTACACTCTGCTGTTCGTGGCAATCAGTCTAAGTTTTTAGATCGGGTGCTGATGAAATAGGCTGCTTTGCTCCGTCAATACTGTTGAACTTTTTGAGTGTTTCTTCTGTAACGTTCCTGACTTGTCCCGTGTTGATGGTGGACAGGCTTTGGGGACCCTGTCGTGCTCATGTAGCCACGGTTCAGATCAATCTCTGACGTTGTGTTGAAGGAAGGTAATTCATAAAGCAACAAAAAAAGTTGTGCCTAGGGTGCTACCCTCAGGAACTTCTGTACAGAGATCCTGGGCCTGAAAGGAGTAAAGCTCGGTGACCCAGAACCTTTTGGGCTAGGTATGACTCCAACTAGTGGAGACATTTCCCTGTGAATCCTGTTGGAGTCCTTTGGGCTCCTTTGACTCCAACTCAGTCACCTGCTGTCTTGACGTCAAGGGCAGTTACCCTGACTTATCTACCTGAGCTTTTTTGACTATGCTTGGACCAAGATTGCTGTGAGTTATGGAGCAGAGTGGACCTTGAGGAATGACTGTCATTGAGCAGGTTGCGTAAGTGATGTTTGATAGCAATGTTGACAAGACCTAACACTTTGGGGGTTGAGAGTTGACTAATAGGATGGCAGTTGTCTGGGTTGGATTTGGCCTGTCTTTTGTCGCCAGGACGTAATTGTGCGGTGATCCAGTTCACAACACTGGCATCTCCTTGTCGATGTACTGGAAAAGACGTCTCCCCTGACAGTCAGCTCCTATGACAGTGCAGCACTCCTTCCATACTGCACTGGAACATGACGGTGGAGTTTTCTACTCAAACCTGGGGTGGGCTGTAGACGTGGAAACTCTTGACTGAAATGGGATGCTACCCACTGAACCACACCTTATGCTGTTGAAGAGTGCCTCACTTCCCAACTCGCTCCTTACCAGTGAGAATATTGTAGTCGCTCTTGATAATTTAATCCTACCAATATTTCAGTGCTTGAGTTTAGTGGGTTGTTTGGATATAGGAAGTCTTTAATTGTGATTTAATAGTCGGAGCCTGCTTTATTATTGAATCTGTGGAAGGCCCGTTCAGTGGTCACTAGTACTGACAATGATTATAATGTTAATAATTACACTACCCAATTAAGTGTAACTTTCTCACTTCCCTCCCAGTAATGACGGTGCTGAGTTTGGTGGCTCGATTTACCAGAAAGTGAATGACAAAGTGGAAACTGCCGTGAACCTTGCATGGACTGCTGGCAGTAACAATACTCGTTTCGGGATTGCTGCCAAGTACCAGATCGACAGTGACACCTTTGTATCAGTGAGTAACAATTCCACTGTGCATCACGCTTTGGTCAACCATCCCTACACGTAAAAAGGATAGAAAATGATAAGTCTAATTGAAACTGTAGAGTGCTGGGACATGAGACAAGTGGAATTAGCAAATAGTTAGCAGAGCTACATGGAAAGCAGAGGCAAAACGGGACCAAGTGATTAGCTGTTTCCTAAAGGAGATACAGTGATGTAAAATTATGAGCCTGAACGACTCCAAGTTAGAACAGTTTGCAAAAGGGAAATGTGAAGAATGAAACTGTGTGTTTTTTTTAAAATTTATTCATGGGATGAGGACATTGCTGGTTAGGCCAGCATTGGTTGCCCATCCCAGAGGGATTCTTAATTCAGGATGTGTAAAATGTGACGTAGGACAGTAAACGCAGGACGTTGAATAGTAAAAAATAAAATGAAGATTGGCATATTTCCAAACAGGTCCAGACAATGTGGAGCTGAGGCTGTAACTGTACGAATAGACAGAAGGGGCTGGTAGTGTGGAGACACGCCTGAAACCCGAACTGAGGTTGTGATGCAAAAGCTTATGTGTACCTCTGACTTGTGTGCTCACCTTCTGTTGAAATATAGTGACCGTTGTTACTCAGGTGAGCTTGCCGAGCATCTTGCGAATACAGTCTCACTGTCAGTGTGCATCTCGACACCTTGGCAGTGGTTACTCAGCATGATTGTGGCCAGACAACATCCATTGGTCTGTGGAGCTCAAACCACAACCTCTTCACTTGAGTTGCGCACTGCTATCCATGACATCGAAAGATGGTCTGTCTGCTGTGGTGTGAACTAGTGGTGCTCCTGACATCATGCTGGTGAGGATATGCAGTTTGGAGCTTCGAGGAACTGCCCTTCAGCATTGTAGACAGAGTCTGTCGCAAAATTGGGACTCCAGCGAATGGAATGCTCAGCTCTGACGGACTTCTGAGTCAGTGCAGCAAAAAAGGTCATTTTGTTACTCGCCATCCACCAGAGGGTTGAGGGATAAGCAGAGATGTGTCAATGTCACAGAGGCCTGGGACCTTTCACCTGTTGGTTTATGCTTCTGTTTGTTCTCTTCAAGGCGAAAGTGAATAATTCCAGCCTGATTGGATTGGGATACACTCATACTCTCAGACCAGGTGTGTATGAAACTGCCTCTTAGATTCCAGATGTATTAAAACATGCAACTATTGAGACCCGATCTCTACTGTGGTTCTATTTTGTTGCGGTCACATTGCACTCTCATTAAGTTGCTTGATGATTGTGCACTTGTCTTGCCCCTGACAGGCCTGCAGCTTTCCCATCCGGTACTTTGCAACCATACCCTTGGAGAATTGCTCTGTTAGACACTCGGGAGTATCACTAAGGTGGCTGGGGTGGGGGGAGACTCTCCTTTTCAACCTGTTTCATTGCCTGAGGTATGGTGGCCCCTCGGGTTAAATCACCACCAGTCATCTCTGTCTCTAATAAAAGAGCACCCCTAATGGTCTGCTAAGACTGTGGTGATCTGAGTTGCTAAGATACCAGTGCGCAGATAGTAATCGCAACATAGTTGAGCTCAAATGTCTTCTTGCTTTGTAGGAGGGGCAAGTGATTTTCCTGACCCTGCTCTCTTGTCCAGTGGAAAGTTACTGTTGTGGCGCTTGCAAGTAGCTAACAGTTAGCATCAACCTATTATGGAACCTAGCCAGAAAATAATGTGAGGAAAACAGTCCAACGGGTGGGTTGGGGTTCATCGGGCTGTGCAGCTTGTTGGACCTTGTGTCTTTCCCTGTAGTGTGCCGTTTGCTGGCCAAGAATCTCGAACAACATGCGTGAGATTGTTTCCAGTGGTTTCCTTGTGTGACAGGCTCCGTGAAGTTTATATACATCTACATTATAACAGACCACCTTGCTCTAACACTTTTTAACATTCTCTTGCTTAGGTGTGAAGTTGACACTGTCTGGACTGATTGACGGGAAGAATTTCCACGCTGGGGGACACAAGGTCGGCATGGGCTTTGAGCTTGAGGCTTAGCATTGAGGATCAAATGGTAACACCTTTTGGGTCGGCTGCTAAAATGTAAAATGATGAGAATAAATTGCTCGTCTCCTCCATGGACCAGGCACAGAAGAACCTTGAGAATATTTGGCCTTAAATTTGATTTTGATCTGAATGGCCAGCCTGTTTTTTGCTAGGAGGTAGCAGTACTGGATTGGTTTCCCAGGTAACACTACGTGGAGGTTGTGTCCAAAATTATTTCCTGCGAAACCAAGCTTTAAATCATGTATTACAATCCACATTTAATTTCTTTTCTGTGTGACTGCATGTGGTAGAGACATTAATTGCCATTTTTAAATCACTTTGCTGTATCAGGAGAAAAATAAACAGATGTCATTGAGTTTATCGTTGTTGTCAAGCTGATGCAGAGTTTGCTGGGTCTTTACAGCACTGCCAGTTGGACTTCAGGCAAAGTGAATCAGTGAATGCATAATTTGTAAGTAGCAGTAACTGTGTTGAAGGAAATTCCTAGGCCAAATCACTTACTGCCAACCACCACAGGCCTGGGGGAGGAGAGGTGGGGAGGAGAGAGGAGGAGGGAGAAGGAGAGGGAGCAGATACTGCTGGAGCACATTAAACACTTAACTTGTTGAGAAGTGTCCATGTTTAATGTCAACAATTATCGTAATTGAATTGCTTAAGCCTGTTACATCGTTACATTGAGCAAATGCCTGGATTAGAATCTGTTTCTCATTTACATAAAATTGACAGGTTGTTCCCCCACTTCGAGCTTTGTGCTAGTTCATATCCTTCTCTCCAGCTTCATCAGTGGTGGTCTAAATCTAGAACTCCACATCCCATCCAGATTCCTCATCAGGAGGTTCCTCTTCTGTCTCCTCGGCGAAGATGTCAAAATTGCTGGTGTCCAGAGGTCCTGTCACCTGCAGGGGAGAAATAAAAATTCTAACTTGCATTGGGACACACCATGCAGGATAAAGGGGCCCACTTTCATTCAGAAGCTACATGGAAGAAGCTCTCAAAGGGCATTTAGGGACAGGCAATAAACACTGGCTTAGCTCAGCCACTCCCATGTCCCAAAAAAGGAATACATGAATATTTCCTGTAAAACTATTTTTGGTAATACATTGGAGTTTCTAATGTCTCACGATAGCTCTATACATATAGAGTATTAGGTACAATTCCACGGCGTGGGGTTCAGCCAGCTGAAGGCACCAGCCTTTCAGTAACACACCCTGGATAACCTATGTATTAAGGCTAATTACATTTCAAAACATTTCTCGACACTAAGGGCATCACTTACGCTAGGAACTATGGCTGCAGTTAGTGTACCTTTCCTGAGCCCTTCAAAGTTAAAGCCTTCAAACCACCTGAAAGAGAGAGAGAAAAAAGCAAGACTGAATGTTCCCCTTAACCTGAGCTGTCTGATTCTGCCAAAATGTGTCGTTCAACATTTCGTTAACATTCACGTGCTTGCCCATTTCACCGGTCTGTTATTATCCCCATTTGCAAATCTGTGCCCTGTACTCAAGACCAGAGGCAACACCCACTGACGTTTTAATCACAAAAGCTATGTTCTGCCACTGCTCTTTGTTCAAATTCCGAACTCTTATGTTTTTCACACTGGCCATTTCATCCCCTACTACACCCATGCCCTCAGTTACCCTCGTTGGCTCACCTCAAACTTAGTCGGGTGATATTCTGTCAACAAAAATGTGCTGTCACAGGGTTAGTTTTGAGCAATGCTCTAACGTACCCACTGAAAATCCCCACCTTAAAGGGAGAATGACCCAAATTTTCTGGCAGTCGGCCAACTGTTATTCCAGTGTAGATGGGAGGTGCGACCTGAAGAGTGCCCATTGTAACAGAATCTGAATGAATTGCCTGGGGAAAGTTTGATGTCCCCCTTGGCAATGCCTCTCCACAGCACCACGCAGGACAAAGCAGCCCACTGAAAGTCTTCATTTAAAGGAAATTGTACCGAATTTTCATTGAGGCAAAGTTACACAATTAAATCCAGAGTAGCTATTCGAGTGACCCCATAGTTAACTTTCACAGCCACAACTACACCTCCCCACAGAGCCTTGACAGCCCGTTGTATAGCCCAACTCAGCCCATACACTCTCACAGGATATGATGTGTCCCTCCCAACCACCCCAACCCACCTTAAGGACAGCATCACCTCCCTGTTCCCTTTGGTATCCTGACAGCACACTTCACTTATACTTGACACCAGTTATTGAAGTGCCTGTCAGGGCCTCTCAATAGCAGAACAAGCAGCTGACTGCTGAGAGGCGGGGACATGCTTTACCTTCCCCCTACAATTCAGCGCGACCTCAGAACTGTCAAAACAGAAGTATGGTTCTGCATTTCTGATGGAGCCTCGATTTCATTCTCTTGTGGAAAAAACAGGCTCAGGGGCAGTTTGCGTAGGAATTGGCTGACTGGTGAAGACTGGTTCAGCAGACTCCGACAGTAACCCACTACCCTGTCCTCTGTTGTCACAAATAGATCCTCGGTTCACAATCAGCCCCACCCTTTGCATTTGTACATATAAAAGATCTTTCAATTTGCATTCGCTGATTTATCCTCAAACTCTTTCTTTGAGCAATGTCAACAAGAAGTAATAGTTTCTATACTTAACTTCATCATCTGCTGTATTTTGAACCTGGAACTGCCATAAGCTTCTGTATCCTGAGCAGTCCAGGGAGCCTGGATTTAGGATGCCCTATTTTCATGCTCAAAGGCAAGTGTTTACCTAAACAATAACCTCTTTGAAGGCTTCCTGTTATTTAATTACTGGCTCGAGAGACACTTTTGAATTCCAATCCCATCACTTTTCCCTGTCCTATCTTTGCCTGGAATAACTTGAGGCAAAGAATATTCAATTCCTAATGAATAATCTTCTTTGAGCCAGGTCCTTTGTAATACCACTATATCATATTTTCCAGTGCCAATGTGTATCTGCGACTCACCAACATTGTTAATCCCACTCGAAACCCACTTTCCACTACATTTAATTTTTTGCTGTTCCTGAAATATTCTTTCTAGACTGTTACCTGCCTGTTCCAGCCTCCTTTAACACACCTCTTCACTGCTCCCAAAGCCTCAGCAGGTTTTGAGGCACTGGCATTACTCGAGATTGCTATCTTGGATGTCATGTGTGTTAATCTTTGTCTAATTGCACCACTCTGCAGTTCCTATTAGGAAGCTTTATGTGCCACTTACTTGTGCTTCTGTATGTCCTTTACTCCGTTTTTTTGGGTGCCCAGTCTCTCCGAAGGGTTGTCCCTATTGAAAAAAAAAACAGAGAGGGTTAGCCATGGCTAACTTAGTGACCACACGGCGTGGGGGGGCAGGGCAGTTGATTTTACACTGAAAAGATCAGAATCACACTGAATTCACAGGTTCTTTTAGCTGCAAAGTGTGATTGTACTCTTTTGAAATGATTCGCACTTAAGTGACACTTCTCAAACGGCTCCAGTTTTGCTCATCAGAGCAAATTGGGTGAGGTGTTGTTTATTATTGCACTACATCAGGCAGCACTGAACACAGATTCCTCAATCTGCTTCCAGGGCACAGAATTACTTGATTCACCATACAAAAGAAATCGAATCACAGTTTAATGGCAAAATTGTCCTGCATCGTATCAAATTGGATGTCGGTCAAGAATTAATTTGTTCGCTGAAAATGTTTTCTTCCTCAGCGACTGTCACTTGCACACTCACATGAAGAAAATGTTGCGAAACAATACAAACGGCTACTTCACTGAAGGTTTTAATTTGTTCCCAATTTCTGACACGTGTTTCATTGAGGGAGATGTGGGCTTTGGTCTCATTTTGATTTGAAATTTGATGCTAAAAATTTGAGCCTGGTCTCGCCAAACTCTTCCAGGACAGTTGCAACACTTGGCACATACCCGAGAATGTGGAAGATTGCCCAGGTATGTCCTGTATGTAAAAAGCAAGACCGATCCAAACTGGCCGCTTACTGAAAACAGACTGGGACGGTAAAGTGACGGAAATGTTATTGACAGTGCTGTCAAGCAGCACGTGCTCAGCAATAACCTGCTCAGTGATGCCCAGTCAGGGCCACTCAGCTCCTGTTGTCATTAGAGCCTTGGTTCAAACCTAGACAAAAGAGCTGAATACCTGAAGTGTGAGTGACAGCCCTTGAGCTGAAGGCTGCATTTGAACCAATATGGCATTGAGCTGCCATAGCAAAACTGGAATTAGTGGGCATCGGGGGACAAACTCTCTGGTTGGAGTCATACCTGGCACATAGAAAGATGGTTGTCATTATTGGAGGTCAGTCATCTCAGCTTCAGGTCATCTCTGCAGCAGTCCCTCGGGGAGTGTCTTAGGCCCAAACATCTTCAGGTGCTTCGGCAATGACTTTCCCTCTATCATAGCGTAAGAGGTGGGGATGTTTACTGATGACTGTACAATGCTGAGAACCATTTGGGACTCCTCAGATACTGAAGCGGTCCATGTTCAAACGCAACAAGGTCTGGACAATATCCAGGCTTGGGCTGACAAGTGGAAAGTTAACATTTGCACCACACAAATGCCAGGCAATGTCCATCTCCAATAAGAGATAATCTAACGTCTCTCCCCTTGATATTAAATGGTGCATTCCCCATTATCAACATTCTTGGGGTTAGCATTGATCAGAAACTCAACTGGACTCGCCACATAAACACAGTGGCTACGAGAGCAGGTCAGAGGCTGGGAATACTGCAGCGAGTAACTCACCTCCTGACTCCTCAAAGCCTGTCCACCGTTGACAAGGCACAGCTCCAATAACACTGAACAAGCTCACCACCATCCAGGACACGCAGCCCGCTTGAATGGCACCACATCCACAAGCAGCCATTCCTCCCACCACTGACGCTCACTGCATTCGTGTGTACTATCTTCAAGACACACTGCGGAAATTCACCAAATAGCCTCATATGGCACTTTCCGAACTCATGAGCAGTTACATGGGAACACCGCCCCCTGCAAGTTCCCCTCTGAGCCATACACAATCTCAACTTGGAAATATATCGTCGTTCTTCACAGTTGCTGGGTCAAAATCCTGGAATTCCATCCCGAAGGGCATTGTGAGTGAACCTACAGCAGTGGTTCACGAAGGTCGCCACTACCTTCTCAAGGGCAACCAGGGACTGGCAATAAATGCTGGCCGGACATTCAGCGACACGCACGTCCCACGAGTGAATAAAAAGAAATAACACTGACCTAAACAAATACATCTAAACATAACTGGGAGTGAAATGTAAAGGCTTCAGGCTGCATCAAATAACCTGCCGCAAATCTCCACCTGGTGTTAGGTCCAGACTGCAATCAGAGTAGAAAAGATGGTGTCTTTTTCAGTCATTCCACAGGGAATAGAATCAATAACTTGGGCTGGGTTGGAGTGAGAGGTCTCCTTCTGTCAACGTTGCATCGGTGGGTTTTTAACATCGATGCCTGTCTGTGTGACACAACCGCACCAATTCAATTCAATTCAATTCAACTCGCACTGGCCCAGTCAGGATTTGAACTTCTTAAACGTACGGACCACTTTGTCTGTTCTCACCACACTTATCAATCCACAGCACTCACCTGCACAGCTTCTTGATGAGGTTGCCTGCATTTTTGGTGATTTTCTTTGGGAACTCAACCATATCTATCCCTCTCAGGATTACGTTGTACGTTTGCATAGGGTCGGAGCCAGAGAACGGAGGGCTGTGGAAACAAGACATGGAGAATAAGCTGACACAGCTCTCCCGATCAGTATCAGAACTGGCTGTTCCACATGGTGAGAGCATTCTAATCAGAGTGAAAAACTAGCTTGCCATGGGCTGGTGTCTTGCACACTACAGCCTTCACCTCTTCAGACTACTTACGTGGGTCATTGTTTAGAGCAGGCAATAATTCCATTTGAAAAGGAAACGTTTGTAGGGCTCTGGGGTGACAGCAGGGGATTGGGACTAACTGAAATAGCTTCTTCACAACGGCTTGGCACAGGCACAGTGGGCTAAATGGCTTCCTCACATCTGCGATTATGGAATTTCCGGGGCAATGCACTGAATTCTGGCCCGTGTAGAAAACTACTTGCAGCACCGCTGTGGCAGACCCAGACTGGGTGTAGTGTCAGACACAGGAGATCGGGCTCCCACTCTGGTCTGGTGGATTAATGAACTGTCCAATCTTGCTGAATACTAACTGGGAGCTCCTGCAGAAACTGACAAGGTCTGTCACAGAGTCATTCAAATGCTGCAGATTTGATTTTAAGAACAGAAAGTGCACAGGTTCCAAAGATGATGGATACTGGGTTTGAAACCTCCTCGCCACAAATTCTGGAAAATCCACATGTGTACAGTGCTTCCTGTTTTTCTGGCACAAGATCAAACTTGCCTCTAATAGGCCAAATAATTTCCGGGAATCGAAGCACACAGTGGTCAGTGGAATAGTTCCCAGCAACGTTTTTGGCCTCTGGAGGAAACCTCACGTCAAAAACTGTGAAAAGAATATGGTGCCAAATCCAAATAGAGAAACAACTGACCCATAAAGCACACCCCAACTTTTGTCAATCTACTGCCTCTGTCTGAAGCTGAGTGTTTTGTGAAACACCGTGTACTGTGGGAGACACTCGATGATTGACACAGCAGCAGGACAAGTTCAAGCTCGTGCCACTAATTTCAAATGCGCCAGTGCGTTCTGTGACTCTGAGTCATGTAGATTCAATCCCTGGACTTGCTGCACCTACAACCCTTAGTGCCCCGAGGACTAGGCAGAGGAATAAATTTAGCCAAGGATTCCACCTCTAACCTTTAGCCAGTGTCATCTCCTGCATGTCTACTTCATTCACCTTAAATAAAGACTCAATCAGGCTCAGAACCTTCCTGTGAACTGCTGCTTGACTCACTGGCAACGACCACACAGAGACATGGGTTGAGTTCACAAGCTGCTGCCCTAGTCCACCGCAGTCCGAGTACAGGAGAGTTAACTGTGGGTTTCAGGTCTTCGTTTTAGACAACGCATGTGAACTAAACTTTAAAACCCTAGCCGCAGTCACTCACCTGCCTGTCAGGAGCTCATACATTAGGATGCCCAAGGACCAGTAATCTGCAGAGCTGTCGTGACCTTTGTTGAGGATGATCTCGGGAGCTACGTATTCAGGAGTCCCACAAAAGGTCCACGTCTTCTTCCCAAATCCAATCTTCTTAGCAAAGCCAAAATCCACCTAAATCGTGACAACGTCCATTAACCCTTTGACACTCTGTGTTGTGTGCACTGTCCCACCCATTTTAGAACACAGTATAGCATAGGAACAGGCACTTCGGCCCACCGTGTCTACGCTGACTGTGATGTCATACTAAACTAATCCCATCTATCTATACGTGGTTTGTACCCTCCGTTCTCTGTCCGTGGGTCTGTCTAAATGCCTCTTAACCTTTGTTATCATATCTGCTTCCGCCACCTCCCCTGGCAGCGTGTTCCAGACACCTACCAGCCTCTGCATCAAAAAAAACTCACCTCACACATCTCCTTTAAACTTTCTCCTCTCACCTTAAACCTATTCCCCCTAATATTTGGCATTTCAATCCTGGGAAAGAGACTTTGACTATCCACCCTATCCTCGCATTTCAATTTTACAGACTTCTATCAGGTCACCCCTCAGCTTCCAACGCTCCAGTGAAAATAATTTGAGTTTGTCCCGTCTCTCCGATAGCTAACACTCCAATCCAGACAGCATACTGTGAAAACCTCTTTTGCACCCTCTCCGAAGCCTCTATATCCTTTCTAGAATGCAGCGAAAAGAACTACACAAAATACTCCAAATGTGACCTAACTAAAGCTTTATACAGCTGCAACATGATTTGCCAACCTTTATACTCAATACCCAACCGATGAAGGCAAGCATGCTGTATGCCTTCTTCACCATCTTATTCTCTTGTCTTGCCACTTACAAGGAGCCGTGGACCTCAATATCTTTCTGCATATCCATGCTCCTAAGGGTCCTGCATTTACTTTCCATTTGTGTTTGACCTCCCTAAATGCATCACCTCACACTTGTCAGGATTAAACTCCATCTGCCATTTCTCCGCCCAACTTTCCAACTGATCTGCATCCCGCAGTATCCGTCGATAACCTTTCTCATTATCCACAACTCCACAGTTCTTGTGTCTGCCAATGTGCAGTGTTTGTGGTCAAAAAGAAAATTTAACTGCCTATTTTTAGCTTATTTTCAACTCTGTAATTAAGCAAGTGCTTCTATTCCTCTGCTGTATCCAAGAGTGGTACCTAAGTACTTGTACCTCAGATGTCGCCATAAGAAGGCAGACAATGTAAAAGTTTTTCACTGTACTCCTATGATGGAGTACACGTGGCAATAAAAGGATATTTGGCAATAAAAGGATATTCAATTGTATTCTATATTGTGTTGTATTGCAGCCTTGCACTTGCACTTGAGATTCTCACACACCAAGTTGCCTAAATCAGTTGTCCTAGGAGATTGTTGAATGCACCTTCTCCCTCTGAAGTAAGACAATGCTGGAAAACTCAATGGGTCACACAGCATCTGTGCACAGAGAAACAGTGAACATTTCAGGTCAATGACCTGACAGCTGAATTGGAAAGAAGTTTTTAGACATAGAAAATAGGTACAGGAGTAGACTATTCGGCCCTTCGAGCCTGCACCACCATTCAGTATGATCATGGCTGATCACGCAATCGCAGTATCCCACTCCCACCCTCTCTCCATACCCCTTGATCCTTTCAGCCGCAAGAGCCACGTCCAGCTCCCTCTTGAATATACCTAACGAACTGGCCCCAATAGCTTTGTGGTAGAGAATTTCACAGGTTTCGCAATTCTCAGAGTGAAAACATTCTTCCTCATCTCAGTCCTGAATGTCTTACCCCTTATTCTTAGGCTGTGACCCCTAATTCTGGACTTCCCCAACATTGGGAACATTCTTCCCACATTTTGCCAGTCCAGTCCCAGAGGATTTTATAAGTTTTTATGAGATCCCCTCCCACTCTTCTAAATTCCAGTGAGTACAAGCCCAGTCGATCCGGTCTTTCTTCATATATTAGTGCTGCCATCCCGGAACCTTCACTAGACCCCCTCAGTAGCAAGAATGTCCTTCCTCAGACTAGGAAACCCAAAACTGCACACAATACTAAGGTGTGGCCTCACCAAGGCCCTGTACAATTGCAGCAAAAACAAGCTTTTTACAGATATAGGGAGAAAACGACAAAGGGAGGTTCTGTGAGAGGGTGCAACGTAAAAGAGATTATGTGAGAGAAAATAACAATAGTGGAGGGCACTAAATAAATGAAACACGGGTCCTTGAAGTGGTCCAGCAGGAATAACAAAAATGCACACAGTGGTTATGACCTCGAGTAGCTGGAACTTATTGTTCATCTCCAAACATGAGGTGCTGTCCTTTGAGCTTCTAGTAAACTTCATTGCAACCGTGTTGGAGACCAAAGGCAGAGAGGTCACATCGGGAAAAGGATCGAGGACAAACATGACAAAATGTCCACAATCTCAGTTTTGGGCTTGCAGCCTGAAAAAGCATTCTGCAAAGCAGTCATCCAACCTGCACTCAGTCGCCCTCCTGTTCTCATCCTGACTCTCTGCTTCGAAGTTGATCGATATCTAACACCTCCTAGTTCTTGTGAAAAGTCATCGACCTGAAACTTTAACTCTGTTTCTCTCTCTCAGATGCTCCTGACCCGACCAATATTTTCGTCATCTGTACTGCATAGTTCCCACCCCTCTTGCGTACAGCAGATTTAATTGTGGAGCGGCTACAGCAAATGGCTGAACAGAAGGTGCAGCCAGACTCGTAGAGTTTTAATTCCACATTGATGAATCTCTCAAAGTTTGGTTCAATCGCAAGAGGACTTCCCCCTCCAAAAAGTTAATGAAATGAAATATCTAAATATTGGTATGTCACTGACCATTATCTTTTTCTATTCACATTACCAATTGTATATATTTTCTAATTGACCTATTTGGGGATGTTACTCCGCACCTCTGGAGTAGTGGGACTTGAACCTGGGTCTCTTGGCTCAGAGATAGGGATGCTACCACTGCACCACAACAGCCCCATTGACAGTTATTGTATTTTAGTAAACACCAATGTTACAGTAACTATGGAATTCTTTAATGCTGAAAGCTGTGGAGGCTGTGTGAGGAAGCACATTCAAGGCTGAGGTTGACAGATTTTTAATCAGTAAGGGAATGTAGAGTTCCAGGGAAAAGGTAGGACAGTGAAGTTGAGGATTATCAAACAGCTCTGGTCTTATCGAATAGCGGAGTAGACTCAACGACCTGAACTGTCTCCTTCAGCTCCTATATCTTCTGGTCTGTGCCCCAATAAATAACCTTAATGCTATGTTACTCCTCCATCACCTCAGTAAGTGATTGCAGGTGGGGGGGAAAAAAAAAATCACTCTCTGAATTATCAGGCTAACGAGACAGATTATCCACTCATTCGAATAAGACGATTTAATACTAATTCAATCAAAATGTAATTTGATCCAAAGGGATTAGTGATAGATGGATGCACGAGCATCACATTGCTCTGAAGAAATTTCTCCCAGTCTCACTTCTTAAAGGCTAACTCCCGATGCTAAGACTCTATGCCTCATTCTAGACTACCCAGTCTGGGGGGAGAAAAAAGGCCTCAGTGCAAATACTCAACTGGGTCATCTCTCAGATCTCTAAACTCCAGAGAGTAGAAGCCCATCTACCAGTTTCTCCTCTGATTCTCTGCAATCAGTAGGTGGAATCTCTGTTGCGATCCTTTCTAAGGCAAGCATATCTGACCTTGGGAACAGAGACTGAAAGTACACACACAGCATTCAAGTTGTGCTTCCATCCATTGCAGTCAAGGTCAAGAGACCTTCTTAACTTTTCACTGTACCTCAGTGTTAACAAATCCCTTTCAGCGTCAACATTTAATCTTACTGTTTACAAATGTTGCTGTCTATTCTTCCTACCAAAGTGAACAACAAATATTTAAGATGACCGTACAACACAGGAGCTGAAGGAGGCCATTCAGCCCATTGAGTCTGCTCTGCCATTCAACGAGGCTGTAGCTGATCTGATAATTCTCACCTGCACTTTCTTGCCTTTATCCCCATAGCCCCAGATTCCCATATTGATTAAAAATCTGTCTATCTCAGCTTTGAATATATCTATCTCCTATTATCCACAATCTCCTATTCCTCATACTAGGTTCACAATATCTCACCCGTCACATTCTTGCGTAAACATACTCATGTACCTTTCGGACACCTTAAAGCTAGGTGGGAAAGTATCAACAAACTTGTACACTCAGTCCCTACATCTACATTATGGCAGTACACTGTAAACAGCTAAGGTTCCAGCATTAATCCTTGTCGCACTCCATTGGTAACAGCCTACAAAATTTAAAATGACCCATTTATTCCAACTCTCTTTCATGTCCTTCAATCAATCCTTAATCTTTAGAAACATATTACCTGTAACTGTGTGAACTCTTGTGAAATAACTACCATGGGGCAGCAAGGTGGCTCAGTGCATAGCAATGCTGTCTTACAGCATCTGGGACCTGGGATCAATTCCAAACTTGGGTGACTGTGTGAAGTTTGCACGTTCTCTTCGTGTCTGTGTGGATTTCCACCAGGTGCTCTGGTTTCTTCCCACAATCCAAAAATGTGCACATTAAGTGGATTGGCCATGCTATATTGCCCGTAGTGTCTAGGGATATGTAGGTTGGGTGGATTAGCCACGGCTAATGCTTTGGATTTTGCTTTGCAGGTTTCCAAAATTCTCGGATTATGAGCTTTCTTGGTAACATTATAATCCACCCAAGCTCTTCAGCTGCCCCCTGGTAAAAGGCTCAGTCTGTGATGTTGGTTCCTACATGGACCGTGATAACTGGATTTTTCCCCTTCCTACTCCAAGCTCTTTTCTACCTGTGAAGAGATGTCCTTAACATTGTCCTGACACTGGCCGGACAACACATTTTTAGAGCTTTCAGTCACAGTCGAAAAGAACAATCTGATTTATCCCATTTCCTATCATTGCCACAACCCCTTTTAACTCCTTCTCCCTGTATACCTCAGGGACACGCTTAGTTTGCTCATCCATTCCGGCACTAAGTATCTCATTATCTGTTGGACCAGCTCCTTCGCCGCTGCATCCTACATCGCCATACCTCCCTGCCGTATAGTACTTACCAGTTTAGCATAACCTTTGTGATTGAGGATGATGTTCTCTGGTTTCAGATCTCTGTAAATGACTCCTTTGCTGTGTAAATATGCAAAAGCTTCCAGCACACAGGCAGTGTAGAACCGTGTAACGGAATCATCAAATGAGCCCCTGTAATTAACCACACACAGAAAAAAAAATTCAACTTCAGTATCTCACAGGAACTCTCAGACGGATTTAAGCCAGGCAAAGTTTCAAAGTTTTTCTCCAAATATTCATTTATTTCTTATCAGGCATATGAACAAGGAACAAGAATAGTCTGCAGGGCTTTCTCAGCCTGTTCTACAATTCAATAAGGCTGATTTAATTTTAACCTCAACTCTACATTCCTGCATACCCCTGATAATCCTTCATCCCCTTTGGTCATCAAGAATTGATCTATTCCTGCTGTAAAAATATTTAAAGATTATGCATCTGCTACCTTTTGAGAAATAGAATCCCAAAGACTCTCGGGGAGGTGGAGAAAAAGTTTCCTCATCTCTGTATTATATGGGTCCAATTCCACCTCCACGGAACACTTGCCAAATGTGTTGTTGGACATGTGGCTCTAGGATTGGGCTCATTAGCCTCACAAGGATCCACAGAGCCCATGACCAGTGACACAGAGTTTCCTCGCTGCACAATCTTACTCAACAGCAAATGATTAACACCACCAATGAAATGGGTGTCCTTACATTTTTAAACTGTGACCCCTAATTCTAGATTCTCCCAAAAGAGGAAACATCCTTTCAATATTCCCCCAATCAAGTCCCCTCAGGATCTTGTGTGTTTCAATGAGGTCACCTCTGACTCTTCTAAACTCCAAAGGGTACAAGTGTAGCCTTTCCTCATAAGGCAATCCACTCAATCCATGTCTTTGTCCACTAAGCCTTCACTGAACTGCTTCCTATGCATTAACATCCTTCATTAAGTACGGTGACCAGGACTCCAGATGCCCTCTCACCAACGTCTTGTACAACTGAAGCATAACCTGCTTATTTTTACATTCAATTCTGCTCACACTAAACCATAACATTGTTGGAGATTTCCTCATTACTTGCTGTATCTGCACACGAATTTTCTGTGATTCATGCACTAGGACACCCAGATCTCTATATCTCAGAGTTCTGCAACCTCTCGCCATTTAGATTATATGCATTTTCTTCCTTCTTTCTGCCGAGATGGACAATTTCACACTTTCTAACATTTACTCCATTTGTCAGATCTTTGCCGACTCACCTATCTATATCCCTTTGTAGGCCCCTGACGTCCTCTTTACAACTCATTTTCCTACCTTTGTGTAATCAGAAAATTTAGCAACTGTACCTTTGATCCGTAGATCCAAATCATTTATAGAAATTGTTAAGAGTTAAAGCCCCAGCACCGACTGCTATCCCATATCACGCATGACATCCTGCCAGCCTAGCAAATACAGATTTATTCCTACTCTCTGCCTTCTGTAAGCCAACCAGTCTTCTATCCATGCCAATGTTATCCCTTATACTGTGAGCTTTCACTTCCTGCAATAATCTTCGATATGCTAACGAATACCATCTGAAAATCTAAATACAGTACTAGTTCCCTATATGTTACAGCAGGAGTTACTTCAAAGAACTCCAATACATCAGTTAAACATGATTTCCCTTTGACAAAGTCAAGTTGGCTGTGCCTGATTACCTTGAACCTATCCATTTTAGAATTCCTCGTCGTTACCCGAACTGCCTTTATATCCTGGTTTCCTGAATTAAGGTCATCTTTCTCCATTGCGTGAACATCCTCTTTAATTAACAGAGCCACCCCTTTCCTAGCTTACCATCTTTCCTCAACATCACATACCCTTCAATATTCAGGTCCCAATCTAGGTCATTCTGCAGCCACGTCTCAGTTACAGAAATCGTCCTTATTTATTTCAATTTGTACTACTACATAATCTGTTTTGTTTCAAATGCCATGCGTTTCAAATACAATGCCTTAAGTTTTGTCCTTTTATTGTTGTAATCTCTAGTTGTCGCTAATGACCTGTTCTTAGTGTATTCTCTGTCCCTTCCTTTCATTGACTGTTTGTCATTTCCCACATTATTTCCTTCCTCTGTTGATGTTCCCCACTCTTTGATTCACCAGAACTTCTCAAATTTGGGCCCAATTCTAGTTGCCCTTGAGAAGGTGGATGTGAACTGTTTTCTTGAACCACTATAGACCAAGTGCTGTTGGTAGATCCACAGCACTGTAATGGAGGGTATTCCCAGATTTTGACCCAGTGACACTGAAGAAGCATTGATATATTTCCAAATCAACTTGGTAAGCGGCTTAGAGAGGAACTTGCGGGTGGTGGTGCTTACATGTGTATGCTGCCGTTGTCTTTCAAAATGGTGCTAAAATTGGGACAGTCTGAGAATTTCATAGTAACAGGATCATACCTGACAATGTCTCAAGCATCACCAGCCCAGGGTAATTTCTGACCACTGGCAGGATAACCCACCATGAATGGCAGCACAGTGGTATACAGACAGGAGGGAGCTTCCCTCGGTGGTATCAAGATTGACTCCAGACCCCATGAAGTCTCAACATATCAGAGACAGAGAAACCTCCTCCCAACTATCTATCAGACACAGATCATCTGTCCGTTGGTACGAGTAAACACCGTGTTGTACTTAAGGAGTTGGAGTCCTGTCTTCACAGAACACCCTCTATTGTCTTGTGTGGCATTACCAAAGAGCTAAATGGGGCTGATTACAAACAGATCTAAAAACTTACAGCTGAAGGGACCTATGTGTTATGGGCCCTGACAACATTCTGGAAATAGTACTGAAGACTTGTGTTAAATAACTAGCTGTTCCAGTACAGTTACAACATTGGCATCTACTTCGTAACTTGTGCAATTTCCCAGGTATGTTCTGTACACAAAGAACAGGACAAATCCATCTCAGCCCGTTATCAGCCTAGCGGGCCACTCTCGATCATCAGTAAAGTGCTGGAAGGTGTCACTAACAAGCAGCTATGGGGTAGCACTTGCAAACTAATAACCACAATATTCACTGATGCTCACGTTGGGTTCTCCTCAGTTCCTCACTTCATTACAGTCTTGTGCCAACCACAGACAAAAGAGTTGAAAACTCCAGAGCCAAGTTGAAATTGACTGCATTAGACATCAAACAGTCCTAGAAAAACCTGGAGTCAATGAGAATCAGGTGAAAACTCTCTGCTGGCTGGACTTATAGCTAGCATTATATGTAGCACGGGGAAGATGGTCGTGGTTGTTGGAGGTCTGTCATCTCAGTTCCAGCACATCTCTGCAGGAATTCCTCAGGCCAACCACTTTCAGCTGCTTCCTCAATGACCTTCCTTCTGTCATAAGGTCACAAGTGGGGGTGTTTACTTATGATTGTACAAGGTTCAGCACCACTCAGTTCTCAGATCCTGAAGCAGTCTGTGCCACGATGCAGCAGGGTCTGGACAACAGCCTGGGTTGGCGTGGCTTGAAAAGTGACCAGTGTTTCACGAATGTTACAAGTGCTAGGCAATGATCATCTCCAACAAGACAGGATCTAATCATGACATTCAGTGGGGATTACCATTGACTAAAAGCTGAACTGGACAAGCACCAAAATACTGAGGCAACGAAGAGTCATAGGCTAGTAACTCACCTCCTGTCTTCCTAAAGTTAAACTGCCTTCTACAAGGCACGTGATCGAACACTCTCCATTTGGAGAGGATGAGTGCAGCTCCAACAACACTCAAGAAGCTTTACATCCTTCAGGGCGAAGCAGACACTTAACTGACACCATGATCAACATTCACTTTCTCCTTTACTGATGCACAGTGGTAGCACTGCTTACCATCTACAAGATACATTGCAGTAACTCGCCACTTCAACACCACCTTCCAAACCCAGCACTACTATCATCTAGAAATCTAAGGGTAGCAGCTACTTGGGGGCAACGGCACCTGCAAGTTCCCCTCCAAGCCACACACCGATCCTGGAAATCCTTCCTTCACAGCACTGTGGATGTACCTCCACCAGAGGGACTGCAGTGGTTCAAGAAGGTGGCGCCTCATCACCTTCTTGAGGCACCAATGAAGATAGGCAATAAATGCTTGCCCAGACAGCGACACCCACCTCCAGGGAAAGAATAAAAAGTTCATTTCATGAGCTTGCGACTGGGACATCAAGTCACACTTGAGGCGTATGGAATCAGGTCTCTGCCTCAAGAGGCTGCAACCAAGTTCAATATTGAACTGCCTTGTTTTTAACCTCCATCTCAATAACATACACTGGTTGCAGGTGACTGCAACAGGATTTAACTTTGCCAATTCTTTTCATGGGAAGTGTTGTTAGGGAATTAAGGAAAGACAAGCTGAGTGGCAACAACCACAGCATGGTGGAGAGATTAGGGGAGGGGGGGGGAGCAGTAGGGGTTTGCAGGGAGTGCTGTCAAGTTTCAGTTTGGTTCAGGAAAAAAGTTGTCTTGGGACAGGGGCGGGCATCATGCACCTCCGCATGCGTGAAGCTCAGATACAAGAGGGAGCTTGAAAAACCCTCTGTAGCATCTTTCACTACTACCTCCGGCTATCCCGAGATGTTTAATAAATAAGTATATCTTACAAACGTACTTCCTGTTGTCAGAAACACAGCAGTTACTTAGTCATACGTAGTATGCACCACAAATATTAATAATGAACAGAGAACCTGTTTGTGATTTTATTTGAAGGAGAAATATTGGTCATGACACTGGGGAACTACGTCCCTGCTGTTCCACCAAACAGCCCCAGAAATTTGTTCACTGCTACTGATGAGGACAGGCACAGCCTTGTTTTAACACCTCATCTGAAAGACAGCATGTCTGAAAGTTTAGTGCTGTTCCTGGGATTGTCACCCAGGCTCCTAGCTGAGAGCTGTAGAAAGGGACTTGGACCCATGATTGTATGACTCAGAGATGAATGCACTATATCCACTGATGTACAAAATGAGTGGTCTGCATTACTACTGCTCTTCAAGTGGAGAGTTGGAGGAATTGATATAAATGTCAGTCGATTACCTGTCTCTCAGGATGGTCCACAGTTCACCACCAAGGCAGGCCTCCATCAGCATGTAAAGATACTTGCGGTCTCGGAATGTCCCGTACAACCTATAACGCAGACAAACAGAGGGGCACGCAAGCTGTCAGGCTGGTTCATAAACTGTATGCAGTGCTAATGAATAGATCAAACTTCACAGGTTCCCTTGGTGGCTTGAGGACACACTGCTATGGGAAAACACCTCGCTTGGCTATTTCTCTCCAACTCTGAACGCCCATTTGGGGCTGGAGTTTGCGGAACATAGAACATAGAACATAGAACATTACAGCGCAGTACAGGCCCTTCGGCCCTCGATGTTGTGCCGACCTGTGAAACCAATCTGAAGCCCATCTAACCTACACTATTCCATTATCATCCATATGTGTATCCAATGACCATTTAAATGCCCTTAAAATTGGCGAGTCTACTACTGTTGCAGGCAGAGCATTCCACGCCCTTACTACTCTCTGAGTAAAGAACCTACCTCTGACATCTGTCCTATATCTATCAGCCCTCAATTTAAAGCTATGTCCCCTCGTGCTAGCCATCACCATCCGAGGAAAAAGGCTCCCACTGTCCACCCTATCTAATCCTCTGATCATCATGTATGTCTCTATTAAGTCACCTCTTAACCTTCTTCTTTCTAACGAAAACAGCCTCAAGTCCCTCAGCCTTTCCTCATAAGACCTTCCCTCCATACCAGGCAACATCCTGGTAAATCTCCTCTGCACCCTTTCCAATGCTTCCACATCCTTCCTATAATGCGGCGACCAGAACTGTACGCAATACTCCAAGTGCGGCCGCACCAGAGTTTTGTACACGTGTTGCTGGAAATCAGTGCCCTAGGAAGAGGCAGCGAGAGACACGCGGGGTCGCAGCCCTGTGGAGGCTCGTGCCGAGAGAGTGAATTTACCTGACTATATAATCACAGTGAGCCTCCTGCATGATCTGCCTCTCCGAGCGAATATGCTCCTGCTGTCGCATCTCCACAATGTGGTGCTTCTTCAGAATCTTCATTGCAAACGTCCGATTTTCTTCATTCTTTAACTGCACCTGTGGAATGACACCGGTGACAAGATGAAGAAAATAAATGGTGCAAAGATCAGGAGATATTTGGCAAACACTCACAGTTCACTAACTAAAATAAATTCCACCAAATTTGTATTTTGATCTCCTGATGGTTCATTGAGCGATTGATCACTGTGCTTGTCGTGGAACTGAAATCTGGACAAAGACCATTCTCACAGTAAGGTTCACTCCCTTCCTCCTTCTGCTATCACTGATACTTTCCCTCTTAGCTCGGTTGATGTAGGTGCAGGCAATAGAGGGCTGAACATAAATCTGACCCTTAGTATGAAATCCAGAACCAGAGGGTCACTGTTTAATGATACAGGATAGGCCATTTAGGATTGAAATGAGAGGAAATGTCTTCACCCAGAGATTGGGGAGCCTATGGAATTCTTGCCACAGAAAGCAGTTGAGGCCAAAATATTGAATGTTTTCAAGGAGTTAGGTATAGGTCTTCAAGCTAAAGGGATCAAATGGAGATAAAGCGGGAACAGGGGACTGGGATGATCAACAATTATCATTTTGAAAGACAAAATGGCCCCTATTTCTCAGATCTCCAAATGGGGAAGACATTAAGACCTCTAAGAATCTTTGTGCCTTTTAATAATCATTCTTTGAAACTCCATCGGGTTTAAGCCCATGCCACAATCATGATCCCTGCAGAGACCAACAACATCCAAAAATAAGAAGACCACCATCATCCCAGTGCCAAAGAAAAATTATGCAGCATGCCTCAATGATAACCATCCAGTGGCTCTGACATCCATGATTATGAAGTACTTGGAGAGGTTGGTTATGGCTCACATCAGCTCCAGCCTCCCAGATCGTCTTGATCCCTCGTAATTTGCCTACCATCATAACAGGTCTATGGCAGATGCCATCTCCCTGGCCCTTTACTCATTCCTGGAACAACTGGACAAGGATACCTACATCAGGCTCCTATGTATTGACTACAGCTCCACCTTCAACATCATAATTCCAAACAAAACTCATCTCCAGAGTCCAAGACCTAGGTCTCGGCTCCCACTTGTGTAACTGGATCCTCGACTTCCTGACCAACAGTCAGTAAGGATAGGTGACAATTCCACCTTCACGATAATCCTCAACACCAGCGCCCCACAAGGCATGCCTACTCAACCCCTTCCACATACACGACAGTGTGGCCAAATTCTGCACCAACTCTAATTACAAGTTGGCTGATGACACCACCGTGGTAGGTTGGATCTCAAACAACGAGACGGTGTACAGCCAAAAAATTGAGTGTTTAAAGGCCGTCTATGGCAAGGCCTAAACAACATTACGGGATACAAAATGAAACAGTGTAAGATAGTGGACAATGACACATCCCTCCTTGATGCACCCAATGCTTTCTATGCTCTGTTCGAGCAGAACGCCAGTGGCGCGGTGACTCCTGCCTGGACAGCCCCGTACACACCTGTTCCCTCCGGCACCACTTCAGAAGTCAGATCAATCTTCCTGGGAGCCAACCCAATGAAAACAACAGGCCCGAACGGTGTCCCCGCCCGAGCACTCAGATCCTGTGTGGACCAAATGGCAGAGGTATTCACCGATATCTTCAACCTCTCCCTCCTACAAGCTCAAGTCGCTATCTGCTTCAAGAAAACCACCATCATCCCCATACCCAAGAAAACACGTGCAATGTGCCTTAATGACTGCCGCCCAATAGCTCTGACTTCAATAATCATGAAGTGCTTTGAGAAGCTGGTCATGGCCCACATCAACTCTAGCCTCCCAACCTGCCTTGACCCCCTACTGTTTGCTTACCGACGTAACAGATCCACAGAGGATGCCATATCCCTAGCCCTGCACTTATTCCTGAAACATCTGGACAACAAAGATACCTACGTCAGACTCCTGCTCATTGACTACAGCCCCGCTTTCAACACCATTGTCCCCTCCAGACTGATCTCGGCTCTGCCCTCTGCAATTGGATCCTCAGCTTCCTGACCCACAGATGACAGTCAGTGATGATAGGGAACTGCACCTCCTCAACACTGGAGCCCCCCAAGGATGCGTCCTTAGCCCCTACTGTACTCCCTGTACACCTACGACTGTGTTGCCAAATTCCAAACAAACGCCTTCTATAAGTTTGCTGACACCACCACCTTGGTGGGACAGATATCTAGCAACAATGAGTCAAACTATAGAAGGGAGATAGAAGGCTTGGTGACGTGGTGCGATGAAAACAATCTGTCTCTCAACATCAGCAAAACTAAAGAACTGATTATCGACTTCAGAAAGAAAGGAGGAGAACACGCCCCCATCTACATCTACAGAACTGAGGTGGAGAGGGCGAACAGCATCAAGTTCCTCGAAGTGACAACAACTGACGACCTGTCCTGGACTTCCCACGTAAACGTGACAGTCGTGAAGGCACAACGCCTCGTCTTCCTCAGCCTGCTGAGGAAATTTGGCATGTCCATAAGGTCCCTCATCAACTTCTACCGATGTACCATTGAAAGCATATTGTCTGGGTGCATAACAGCCTGGTAACTGCTCTGCGCAGGAGCGTAAGAAACTACAGAAAGTTGTGTGCACAGCCCAGACCATCACAGAAGCCAACCTTCCATCCATGGATCTATTTACATGGTTCACTGTTGTGGAAAGGCAGCCAACATCATCAAAGAGCCATCGCACCCCAGTAATGAACATCTTCCATCAGGCAGAAGATACAGAAACCTGAACACACGCACGAGCAGGTCTTTCTGGTCATTATCAGACTGTTGAATGGACTCTAGCCTCGAATAATGTAACCTGCAATGTAACCTGTATGCCTCTAAGTCTTTCTGATCTGTACATCCTTCATTTGCTGTGATCTACCTGTACTGCTCGTAAACAAAGCTTTTCACTGTATTTCGGAGCACATGACAATAAAAAATAATCAATAAATAACGGCATGGTCTAAAGACAACAATCTCTCCATCAACATCATCAAAACGAAGGAGTTGGTCATCGACTTCAGGAAGCATAGTGGAGAACACGACCCTGTCTGCATCAATGGTGCTGAGGTGGAGATGGTCCAGAGCTTCAAGTTCCTGGGAGTGACGATCACCAACATGTTGACCTGGTCCATCTATGTTGACACTACTGTCAAGAAAGCACAGCAACACCTCTACTTCCTTGGAAAGCTAAGGAAATTCCACATGCCCATAACTACTCTTACAAATTTTGATAGATGCGCCATAGAAATCTCCTATTTGGATGCAACACAGCATGGTATGGCTACTACTTTTCCCAAGACCCAAAGAAACTACATAGAGTCATGAGCACAGCTCAGTCCATCACGCAAACCAACCTCCTATGCACTGACTTCATCTATCCTTCCTGCTGCATCAGGAAAGCAACTAACTGAATCAAAGACCCCTCTCACCCTGGGTATACTCTCTTCCACCCTCTTTGGTGGGGCAGATGATGTAAAAGTTTGTATACATGTACAAACAGATTCAAGAACAGCTTCTTCTCCATGGTAGTCAGACTTTTGAGTGGACCTCTAATTTTAATCTTGATCTCTCTCTGCACCTTCTTGGCAGCTGTAACACTGTATCCTGCACTCTGTTCTGTTACCCCGTTACACTTTGTGCAGTTTGATCTGCCTGTGAAGCAAGCAAGCCAACACTTTTCATTGTACTTTGGTCCACATGACAGTAACAAATCAAATTAAATTTGAACTTCCAGTCACTAACTAAAAGGATAGCTGATCAAGACTGCACACTCTAAGGCTTTGATTGTAACCAATGACTGAAAGTGTGACTTACTGAACACCATCTGCAGAAAGTGACCCCCCTTTTATACTCGGCACTCATCGTACTCTTTGTGCAATTACAGCTGTTACAACAAAGAGTTGCCCCCAACTCTCAATGGATTTCTCATCTGTTACCCATTCCATTGGGTCATAACTTTAGTTGACCACTTCCAAGCCTTTTCCCCAGTTTTTCAGAGAGTTTCTTACATCTACCACCTATGTTGAAGTCTGTTCTGATGATTCCTCGGAACCCTGGCCACAATAAATCTCCCAGAATCCTTTGAAGACTTCAGGCTGCATCTCTTCAACTGGAGACTGTCCTCTGCATCCGGCTACGGTAACTCGCAAAGACAAACAGCTCACTCTCTCATGACCTGCTCTAACCTTAATAGAGCCACAAGGTGCACATTTACATCAATAAATGATTTCAATTATTTATGCACTGCCCAGACAAAAAGAAGCTAAAAGTAACTCAAGAACACGGAACTCTGTTGGTGGAACCAATAATTCTGAGAAGAATTAATCTGACTTCATTAGAACTTTAAAATATTTGTATAGGTCTCAAAACCAAACATTTGTTTTGAAACTGAGAGACAATTCTGTTTGGAATATCCAAATCATGCTGTATTGGGTTTGAAATGGGCTGAGAGTTATAACATTGTTTTTCTGGGTGTTACTCGCAGAAGGCAGTTACAGATTTTGTAAAGTGCAGCTTGCTGCTCACTTGGAACTCGTGAGGTGAAAAGCAGCCAGACAATTTGTTGGAAAATGAAAAACCCTCGTGGATCCTCACACTGAAAGGCAATGAGCTTTACAGCAGAAACCAGAAACAGCTGCAAAGAAGCTCGTTCATCAGACTGGAAAAATGCAGACCTTCTGCTCAAAGTCAAGGCTCAGCTGCAGTGGAATCCTCATACAGATAAAGCACCACACTGGAAACAGGAGAAGTCATGGTGAATTCTGGAGAGTTGTGGCATTCCTTTGGGTTGGTCCATGAAGAACTGGTCCATCAATGAACCTTCAAGATTTTGTAAAATAAAGGAATTCTTGATGGTGTTGGGGATGTAAATATATTGCTACATTCATAGCATATATGATCATCAACTAGAATGTTATGGTAATGTTGCTTTTTTTAAAAAAAATCATGTTCAATATATTGAGAATGCAACATGAAACACATAAACCTTGCAACTAAATGGAAGTGCTGGTTGGCTCGATTTGACCTCAATTTTCTTTCATCTTTCAAGTAAATGGACAGTTTACACTGTAACTGTTTCCAACCAGACACCTATAACAACTTTATGGGACTTTGGGAGAGTCAGAATATATTTATGGTAAATTCAGAGACATTTGCCATTGTCTCTAATTGCAAACACTTTGCATCTTACTCTCAGGAAAACAATCTAAGCTTTCTTTTGATCTCTAATAGTCAAATCACCAAGGCTTTATTGTCAGGCAAACTTCAGAAAGGTCAAATGAGCTCTTTTATTGATCTTAAGTTTCAAGCCGCTGTCCCAAAGTATAATAATCCAGAATTTTAATACTACTCAATCTGTACTTTAGTTTTGACTTAATACAGCGCTGCATCCTCCTACTTACCAACTCAACACGACCGAATCCTCCAACTCCAAGTGTTTGATGGACATGGAAATCTGTTCGCTCCAAGCTGGCAAAGAACGCAGCTTCTGCCTCAAACCTAAAACAAGTTGCAAATGCAAGGACAGGAAATTATCTGTAGCTGATTGAAGTGGCATCCACTGAGATTAAGTGAAGCCAGAAGCACCGCAGTAGCGGGCCCCAAGCATTTAAGCAGTGACACAGCAGAGGCAAGAAAACCAACTCTGAATAAATTTGCAAAGCGATGTGACAACCAAAAGAGCCCATGGGAGTCCTGCGCACAGGAAACAGCAGCTCCAGAGACAAGTAAATCAGATGATGAACTGTAAGTCATTTACACCACGTCTTGAATTTTAGTTTTAGACTATTAATGAACAACTGGGGACTTAAGATGTTGAAAAAGAAACCGTTTCACAAGCTTACAAGGAGGTCAAGTGAAAGAGTCCACAATGCAGGCCAGAAGATCCACCGAGACTCAGAAGACTTGGTCAAGGAGGTCGGGGGGGGCGGGGTTTAGCTAGAGTCCTCTTCAGTCAAGAACGAGAATCCCATAGAATGCAATCCACATTAGACAGTGAGGCATGCAAGGAGATAATAGGGAAGATGACCTGATATTTGGTCAGAAAAGTTGGTTTTAATGAAAATAATTAAAGGAAGATAGAGAGGTGGATTATTTCAGGGAGGGAGTTCCAGAGACTGGGGCCTTGGCAGCTGAAGGTACAACCCATCTATGGTGAAACGTGAGTTGCTGAATAGGCAAAAATGTTTTAGAAGCATTTGATCGACGTGATAGGGACAGTTTAGTTTACCCTATTGTTCGTCTATATGTATGACTGAAGGTTAGTCACCCCCCTACAGAGCGAGGTGGGTGGCAGGGGGCAGCAGGTGGAAGGTACGACTGCTTTATACAGCAAGGGAGGAAGATGCCTGAGGCCTCCAGCCAAACAATAGTCAATGATGCTGAAGGGAGGACACTGAGAAAAATAGAAATGAATAGGTCCAACAGTCTGATACAGAGCATGATTGTGGTGAGGAAACTGACACACTGAATCTCCTGTTGTCAGATTATACCTTTCATTGAGGACACTGTGTAATATAGGGACTTTGCAGAGCTGAATATTACATTTATCCAAAGGGGAACGTGATTTCAGTTGACTGACTATGCAGTTAGAACCTACAGGTGCCAGCTAAGATTTGGAGTTTGTCCTGCCTTTCTCACTTTTGGCCATTTCATTTCTCACTATCTAATTAGCGACTGCGTTGGGAATGGGGAAAAAAAGCGGCAATCACAGTTCACCCAAACTTTCTCTGTCATTTGCCTTGTGTCATCATGGACTGTTTCTGAGAAGAGTCAAGGACAACTGCAAACTAGTGTCGAGGGCAGGGGAGATTCTTGTTACGGCCAACCAATATGTTCATACTCACTGTTCCCGCATCTCTGCATTCTCATGTTCTTGACTGGACACATCTTCCAAGCTTCCAATAATCTGTCGGAATGAGCTGCAATCAGTAAAGAAAAGTAAAACACTTGGCATGAGATGCCACTTCAATAAATTGTCGCTATCAATATCATTCCATTCAGATGCATAAACAACCTTCAGGATAGTAACATCACTACCCACTGTAGTGTGCTAATCACGCATTAATACAGTCCAATTGTAACAGGATTGGCCACCACTTCACCCAAAGATAACAAGATTAATCAGCTACTGACCAGCATGTGACAAACTGTCACCAAGAGACTACTAGACAGTGAAAGACACTTATGAGTCGGCCAGAAAGATGAAGATTACTAGTCATTCTCCAACGCACTATAGATATGCTGCATGTCTGGGTGAATTTGGAATACATTAGATCTTCAACATTCAGAGAAAGCTATCGAACTGTGCTTGCACCCATTTGTAATTAGAGTTCAGGATTGCTCAGGGATAGGAGACACAGACAGATGATGGAATGGACATGGTGTTTTAATCAGTTTTTATTTGCTGTTGTCAGGGTCTGCAAACCTACGAGATGTGTAACATGATGAAAAGAGACAGTGCTCGTGTGGATGGTTTGTGCTCATTAACTAGGTTAGGGAGGACCTATCCCATATCAGTAGGTGGTTTCATTCTTTCTCTCCCTTAATTGGAGCTTTTCCGTCTCCTCAGCGGTGGTCATATGGTAGGGGTGGTGATTTATGTATGGGCATACAAAACTAATAGTTTCAGCACCAGATTGCAGAGATTGGCTCAACATTGCCATATGCACAAACATATGAATGTAAGAATTCGGAACAGGTCATTTGGCCCCTCGAGGCTGCACCACCATTCAGTAAGACCATGGCTGATCTGATCTAGCCTCAAGTCTGCGATCCAACCCACTCTCAATAACCTTTCAACCTGTTGTTTAGCAAGAATCTACCTACATCCACCTTAAAAATATTCAAGGACTGCACTTCTGCTGCTTTTCTGGGAGGGAGTGACTCTGAGAACAAAAAATAAATCACCTCATCTCTGTCTTAAAATGGTGATCACTTAATTTTAAACAGTGACCCATAGTTGTAGATTCGCTCAGAAGAGGAAACTTCTTTCCACATCTACCCTGTCAAGATTTGTCAGGAGCTCTTATATTACAATCAAGTCACCTCTTGATCTGCTAAATTCCAGTGAATACAAGCCTGGCCTATCCAACCTTTCCTCATATGACCATGCCAATTCTTGGTATTAGTTTAGTAAACCTTCTCTGAACTGCTTCTAATGCATTCACATCCTTTCTCAAATAAAGACAGAGCAACACCATGCAGTGCTCTCACCAATACCTTGTGGGATTCCACAGGGATCGGTGTTTACAATGTATATTAATGACTTCAAGGAAGGAAGCAAATATACTGTAGCCAATTTTGCAGATAAAGAAAAAAGGTGGAAAAGCAGGTTGTTGAGGGATACAAAACAGTTTTCAGGCAGATAATGATCGATTAAGTAAATGGGCAAAAAGCTGGCAAATGCAGTATAATGTGGGAAAGTGTGAAGCTGATCACTTTGCAAGGGAGAACAAAATAACAGAATATCTTTTACATGGAGAAAAACTGTAGAAGAGTGCAAGACAAAAGGGGCTTGTGCACAAAACACTAAGTTAGCTTACAGGTGCAGCAGGGATTCAGGAAGACTCATAGCATGTTGCCCCTTATTTCGAAGGGGTTGGAGTATAAGAGTTAGGAAGTCACTGGAACTGGGCAAAGTGCTGGTGAGACCACATGTGGTGTACTGTGAGCAGTTTTGGCCCCCTTCTTTACAGAAAGAAATTCTTTCATTTCAGGCAGTTCAGTGAAGACTCACTAGGATGATCCCTCATTTGGAGGGATTGTCTTGTGAGCAAAGGCTAAACAGACTGGGATTCTACTCACCAGAGTTTAGAAGAATGAGAGATGATTCCATTGAAACATGAATGGGCTTGACAGGGTAAATGTTGAGAACATTGTTTCCCAACATGGGAGAATCTGGACCAGATTGCACAGTCTTAGTATAAAGGGTGGTGTCAATTTGAGACTAAGACGAGGAGGATTCTTCTCTCTCTCAGAGGATTGAGTGTCTTTAGAACTCTGCCTCCCCACCCTCATGGGGGCAGAATCCTTGTGTATATTTAAGTCTGTTATAGTTGGATTCTTGATCCGGAACAGAAATCAAGGATTACAGGGATAACACAGGAAGGTTGGTTTGAGGAACGTCAAATGAGCCATGATCCTATTGAATAGCAAAGCAGGCTCGAGGGGCCGAACGGCCTACCCTGTTCCTAATTCTCATGCTCTAGTATGGTCTGTACAACTGTAACATAGACTTCTCTTGTATCAAATTCCACTCACGTACTCCACCCAAAGAAAGGTTGTAGTCTTTTCACAGCTTTCTATCCTGCAACAATCTTATCATTTGAAAATCACTTCTTTCAATTTTTAAGCCAGAAAGGCATTAATATTCTTTTCCTTCATCTTTTTTCCTTTGAAGCCTCTCTTCATAACATCTCTTAACGAGTCTGTTTCTTTTTTAAAACTGTCCCACATAGACTGTCTGCCTTTCTCGATTACATCCAATAAGTTTTTGTTTGGTCAGTAGCACTTCATTTTTTATCTTCCTCCTTTCTGTCCAGCAAATCTTTTCCATTCCACTCCAAACACACATTTCATTCAGCAAGTCCCTCCTTGCATCAATACAAATCAATACATCAAATTAAGCTCTTTACAAATCATCCTTTGAGGCTCATTACGCTCTAGGAAAAGAATACCTGTCGGACATCCAGCCTATTTCTACTTTTCCACAAGACAGAAAAATCTCACTAGCAGGGATAGATAGTTAGATGATCTGATTGAAGGCCAGGCACCAGGGAGAACATTCGTATTACTCTTTAAAATTGATCTCTTACACCTACATGGGAGTGGTAGATTGGACCTTGGTTCAGCATCTTGCTGAAAAACTGACATCTCTAATGGTGCAGCACTCACTTGGGGTTTCTCTCGATCTGTGTGTTTGGACATGGAGCTAAAATGTGCTCAACAAGTCGGGTTTTACGAAGATTTTAAAAGGCAGAGAGAGAAGTGGAGATGTGAAGCGAAGGAAGTTCCTTGGGTGGGTGAAGGTCGTGACAGCGATGGTTCGCAGAAGCTTGTCCTCAGTGCCCTTGCACACAGGTTATAATAAATACAAAGCACCTTCCCTAACGTAACCCCAGTAGCAAATGAATGCTGCAACTCTTCTGCATACTCACATGCGCATTTCTTCCTTCAGTATGAGAGTAAATGTACTAGGGGTGCAGTTGCCCATCAAGATCCTACAGTTTAGTCAACTAGGCATCTGCAGTATGACAACCATCACCTTTGAACAACATAACAGATTTGAGCTACTCACTCTTGGTCAATTACCAGGCAGATCACATCCTCCACTGCAATTACATTGGCCAACCTTACGTCTTCTCTGTGAGAAGGGAAAACAGAAAAGATGCAGGCTTCATTGTTAGTGCAAACAAGAGATAACTTCCTTCAACATTACCCGCTCTCACAGCTACGTAACCTTGCTCGTTCTGTGGATTGCAAGCCAATTGCTGCCCTTCTGAACCTCAGTTCCCAGCCTAATTGGCACGTGATTAAGTTTCTGCAGCACTGCTAAGTTCTGTCACTGACTCTGCGCTTCTCCAATGTACTCTCCACAGATTCCGGCCTCTCCGCTTACACTCTATACCAGCACCAACACCCGTCTGATCGTAGTACACACGCTGAAGCACTGCAGTCCGGGGGACCTTTATATTGCACACTGTTCAAACGAGGAGTCAGTGAACAGTAATCAGGAGTCGGAACCTACAGCTCGCTTGCATTTATGGAACTGAAAGCAGTTGTCCCTCCTGACTGTATCAAGGCAGATCAATCTCACTTCACAGAATGTAATGACACAGAAGGCCCTTCAGCCCACTGTTTCTGGTGTGTTAGCTGTTTGAAGGAGCTTTCCAATCAACATGAAAACATTGAAAATAGAAGCAGGGATAGGCCATTCGGCCCTTTGAGCCAGCTCCACCATTCAACATGATCATGGCTGATCATCTAACTCAATAGCTTATTTCTGCTTTTCCCCATTATCCTTTGATCCCTTTAGTCCCAAGTAATACATCCAAATCCTTCTTGAAATCTTGAACTACTTTGGCCTTGACTATTTTCTGTGCTTGCAAATTCTACAGGTTCACCAGTCTCTAGGTGAAGAGATTTCTCCTCATTTCAGTCAGAAATGGTTTACCCTGTATGCTTAAACCATGACCCCTGTTTCTGGACTCCCCTATCATCTAGAGCATTCTTCCTGTGTTTAACCTGTCTCGAAATTTTATAGGTTTCTGTGCAATCTCCATCATTCTTCCAAACTCCAGCGAATATAATCCTGAATATATCAATTCTACCATCCAGGACTGAGTCTGCACTTCCTCTACAGTAAAAGAGAGCAAAACTGCACACAATACTCCAAGTGTGGTCTCACCAAAAGTCCTGAATAATTGCAGCAAGATATCCCTGCTCCTGTACTCAGATTCATCTTGCTATGAAGGCCAATGTACCATTTGCCTTCTTTACCATGTGCTGTACCTGCTTGCTTACCTTCAATGACTACTATAGAAGGACACCCAGGTCTTGTTGCACATTTCCTTCTCTCAATTTGTAGCCATTAGTTTTCACTCCCCCTTTTCCATAACCCGTCCTCTACTATTTTTAAAGCTACCATTGCATCTGTTTTCAGCACCGCTTTAAGCAGAGCATTTCACCTGCTGGAGAGGTCAAACACGCTACCATTAAGCTGCTCAAGGTTTTATCCAGAATACATCAGGAACAAACATTTCTTTGAAAACAGTCAAAATGTTGGAAGAGCTGAGAAAAGTGTCCACACTCTGAAGGAACAGAGGATGACATACCCATGTAGAGCCTTCTCTCCAAACCAGTCTCCCCTGGACAGAGTTGTGGGAAGCACCGCTTCGCCACTTTTTGACTCATCTTGTGTCACGTTTACCTGTGGGCAAAAGCCAAGTACATGTTATGAGGGAAGGAGCAATTATTGCATGAACAGATGGCAAGCAAGACCCCATTGAACTGGTTCAACCCAATACCATTACAAGAGACAGGTCTGAAAGTCAGCACAGACACTTAGTACAACAATTCGGTACAGACATGGGCAGACCACATATAAAACTCCCAATACACTATATTAGATTCCAGACTGTAACTCACCCATAGGTATCTGTTGTTATCTACCTTAATATCGCAAACCCTTTGACTACCAAATATTTGCAGTGAGCGTCTCATGTGTCAGGTGGTATCTGCTGCATGTATCCCCCAGCATGAGCTGGTATCTGCTACGTGTTTCCCCAGCATCAGCTGGCATCTGCTGTGTGTTTCCCTCCAGTGTCAGCTGGTATCTGCTGTGTGTTTCCCCCAGTGTCAGCTGG